GAGCATTACCTTACTGGCATGAGAAATAAGGGCCACTGTACGAAAGTTTGAGCAGTCTTTAGCATTTCCCTTTTTTGGTATAGGGATATAAGTTGATTTTTTCCAGTCTGGTGGCCATTCTTGTGTTTTCCATATTTACTGGCATATGGCATGCATCACCTTTCAAGATTTTAAACTGTTCAGCTGGGATCCCATCGTCTCCCGCTGCCTTATTGTTAGCAATGCTTCTTAAAGCCTATTCAACCTCACTCCTCAGGATGTCTGGTTCTAATTCACTCACCACACCGTCAAAATTATCCTCGATATTATTATCCTTCCAATACAGATATTCTGTATAGTCTCGCCACCTTCTCTTGATCTCTTCACCTTCTGTTAGGTCCCTGCCATCTTTGTTTCTTATCATGACAATTTTTGCCTGAAATTTACCTCCAATGTTTCTAATTTCCTGGAAGAGATCTCTTGTCCTTCCTATTCTGTTGTCTTTTTCCACTTCCATGCATTGCTTGCTTAAAAATAGTTCCTTATCTCTTCTGGCTAACCTCTGGAATTGTGCATTTAATTGGGCATATCTCCTCATCACTGTTTCCTTTTGCTTTTCTCCTTTCTTGGGCTACTTCCAGTGTCTCAGCAGACAATCATTTTGCCTTCTTGGTTTTCTTTTTCTTTGGAATGTACTTTGTTGCTGCCTCCTGAACATTGTTGCAGACTTCTGTCCATAGTTATTCTGGGACTCTATTTACTAAATCTAGCCCTTTAAATCTGTTCTTCACTTCCACTGCATATTCACTAGGAATGTTAGTGAGATCATATCTAACTGGTCTGTGTGCTTTCCCTGATCTCTTTAGTTTTATTCTAAACTAGCTTGGGGATCCGGCGCTGCCCGGGTTATTAGAGAAAGTGGGTATTGGCGGTTCTGTATGCCAAGTTTGGTCTTTATTGGTCATTGGATAACGGCTGCATTGTTTTCAGGAAGTGAGTGAAGGTACTTGAAGTCCCATCATCCAAAGTCCATCCTCCTTCAAACTGCAGCAGGATGTAGAGTGGGTCATGGGGGTTCTGTGTTCCAAGTTTGGTCTTGATCAGTCATTGGATTAGGGTTGCAGTGGTTTCAGTAAGTGAGTAAAGGTACTGCAAGTCCCATCATCCATGGTCAACCCTCCTCCAAAACTGCAGCAGGATTGAGCAATAAGAAGCTCATGATCTGAACTATGGGAAAAGCATTTAATTTTGTTGTGCAACAGTACAATGACAATAAAGCTATTCTATTCTATTGTAACTGCTCAACAAGATGACAGATAATAATAATAATAATAATAATAATAATAATAATAATAGTCAGCCCCAGGTCTTGTTTTCACCGACTGGATGGATGTCCACCTCCTTTGACTACAAAGGATGTAGTCAATCTGATTTCGGTGTTGACCATCTGGTGAAGTCCATGTATAAAGCCGCCTTTTAAGTGGTTGAAAGAAAGTGTTCGTTATACACAGTGAGTTTTCCTGGCAAAATTCTATCAGCCTGTGTCCCGCTTCATTTTGTTGTCCCAGACCATGCTTTCCTGTGATCCCAGTTGTCATTTGACTTCCCACCTTGGCATTCCAGTCTCCTGTAATGAAAATAATGTCTCTTTTTGGTGTATTATCCAGTAGGTGCTGCAGATCCTCATAGAACTGATCTACTTCTGCTTCTTTAGCAGCTGTGGTTGGGGGCGTATATTTGGATCATTGTAATGTTGAAATGCTTTCCTTGCACTCGAATTGAGATAATTCTATCATTTTTTGGATTGTATCCAAGCACTGCTTTAGTGACTTTTTTATTAATTATGAAGGCTACTCCATTTCTTCAGTGTTCCTCTTGTCAGCAGTAGTAGATCTGGTGGTCATCTGATGTGAAGTGGCCCGCTATGGTCCATTTCAGTTGGCTGACCCCCAGAATGTCTATCTTTAGTCTTGGCATCTCATCAATAACAACATCCAGTTTACCCTGGCTCATAGATCTTACATTCCAGGTTCCTGTGGTGTGTTGATCTTTAGAGCATCGGATTCGTCATTCACCTCCAGCACCATCGGCCGCTAGCCTTCCTTTCAGCTTTGAGCTAGCTGCGTCATCACATCTGGGGCTAGTTGAACTTATTTTGACCATCTTCTGACCTGGGAGTCCCATCTTCCAATGGCATACCAACATATCTCTGTTTGAACTGGTCCATTTAGTATTCTTGGCAAGAATACTGGGGTGGTTTGCCATTGCCTTCCCCAGGGATCATGCTTGGTCTGACCTCTCTGTCACGACTGTCCCGTCTTGGGTGGCCCTTCACGGTTTCGCTAGTGACATCATTGAGGTGTTCAAGCTCCAGCGCCACAACAAGGCGGCGATCCTTTGCTGGAGGTATATGAAGCATTCTTAAGAGAATCCTATGGGTATAATTTTCTGTAGTAGCAATTGGAAAGCACTTATGATTTTGATACTAGTCAGACATTTCCCTACCCCTCCTTCTTTGTTTTAATTGTTGTCAGAGGATCGTCTATTCTATGTTCCATGAGACAAAGTCAAGTCCTTAACTGGCCCGATGGAGCCCAAGGGGTTATTTCTCGTGAAGAGCCACAAACACAGACACAAACTGAGCACCACTTTAATCTTTTTTTGTTGTCTGTTGCTTTACACTGACGTTGCTGGAAAGTCACGAGCTCTTTTGTTCACTTGCAGTTTTGTCATGCTTTGCATATTATCATATTAAATGTAGTTTGCTTCACAATGTGACTTTCTAAATGCTGGAACTATATCTGTCATAAAACCTGACAAAGCAGCTGAAAATATGTAAGTGGTGAAAAAGAAGGGGAAAGGGGCATTCATTTGTCTGAATGTCTATTAAAATCTCCTCTCCCCCCCCCCCCATAGTTAGCATCCGACCTCAATTTTTTTTAAAAAAAAAGTTAACATTCTTAATGAAAAATATTATATTACAGAATATTTTGTCTATTTAGAAAGGTGATACCTATCATTAGGACAATTATACAGATAGTCAAAGAATGTTGAGCATTTCTACAAATCGATACACACACACAAACGTTTGTGCAACAGCTATGTCATGTTAAATAACTGTGTCAAAAGAAAACCTTGGCTGCCTTCAATTGGAGAAAACCCCTCAAATGTCTTTGAAGTGACAACCAAACTGGGAAATATAACTGACTCACAGCCTTTAAGCGATCAAGAAGTGATCAAAGCTGTAACTCTGGAACTCAAGAAGAAGGGGGGAAACTGACATGCTTAGGGAAATGAGCAAAGCTTACTGCCAGCTGATATTCAAGGAAACAGAACAAGAACTGAAATTATTATGAAACACATCTTCCAATATCTGGTCATAAAACGGTATGCAAAGTTGCTAGTCCCAAACTTTTCTCCAATGGAAAACATCACTTGGTTTCATACGCCAACCCAGCAAATATCTGTGACTGTGACATATCATTTGGGAAATATTATTATTATACCAAATCAACCTTCACTTTTCAGATTATGATTAGTGGGAGGGGGTGCAAAATGCCTCATTTCGATCGTAGGTGATTGGTGCATTCTCTGCATAGCAGTTAAGGGAGTTCTTTGAGGGTAATATTGGATCTAATGGATAACATGTGAAATTGCTATGGATGATTGACAACTTGACAGTGTTCTCACAGTCACTGAATTTATTTTTATTTTCTCAGTGTTGAGGAATATCCTGAATAAGTCCAAAACAGTGGCTGGTATCCAAGTTCTAGGAGCTATTTTCTGATTCGTAGTCACCCCACTGACAATATAGCTGCATACATTGCCAGCTTATATTCCTCCTTCTAATTATTGTTTTAGCATTGTGAGTTTGGAGATTCTTTGTAGTAGCTGTTCATTTTCTGCAACCCTGTTGTTTTTGCAACAATTAAAATGATGCTGATAGCATTTAGTAAGAGTCTTGTGAGGTATTTTGTGGGGCTGCATCAGATATCAAAACCATACTACACCCCTGTTATAACAGCTTAACTGACTGCCAGTTTGTTTTCAAACACAATTCAAAGTACTTGTTATGAGCTATAAGGCTCAGTTCTAGGCTATCTGGAGTTATGAGCTATAAGGCTCAGTTCTAGGCTATCCCTGTATGAGTCTACTGCAGCGGTTCTCAACCTGGGGGTCGCGACCCCCCGGGGGGTCGTTTGGCCATTTTCTGGGGGTCGCCAAGCCGCCCGATGGTTTTTGAGTTATGTTAATCCCACAAACAAACATTTATACACACACACACCTGTCCAATGTTCCATGATGAGAAAATGAACCCTTGTCTGTTTAAAGCAAGTGTGAATGTTGTAATTAGCAAGCTTGAATAGCATCTAGTAGCCATGAAGCTGCAAAGTCAATTAATGAGGGCATCTGTATAGAGGTAGCCTGGGCTTTGTTGCCTGGAGGCATCCTCTGTTTGGAAGGTGTTAACTGGCAATTTGATTGTTTGCTATCTGTAGTTCTCCTGTTTCTAAGTGTTGTTTCTAAGTGTTGTTTATTTACTGTCTTGATTTTAGAGGTTTTTTTAATACTGCTAACCAGATTTCATTCATTTTATTTAGTTAGTTATTATTATTTATTTACCATATTTATATACTGCCTTTCTCACCTCTAGGGGGGCTCAAAGCGGTTTACACATAAATAATGGCAAAATTCAATGCCTTACATTGGTCCAAGATTGCTGGTTGACCTACATTACCAGCTGAACAAAATAATTACCATCATAAGGTTTTTCTTCAACACACACACACACACACACTTGGTCCTGCTACAACTTACTGTAACACACTCCACTTGCCTCACTTCCGATAGATCTCTGAAGATGCCATTAGCCACAGATGCAGACAAAATGGTAGGAGAGAGTGCTGCTGGAACATGGCCGTACAGCCCGAAAAACTCACAACAACCCAGTGATTCTGGCCATGAAAGCCTTTGACGATATATTTTCTCGTTATTTCTTTGTAGGGAAGTTCCTGTTTCATAGTTATTCTATTTTAACATTGCTTTATATCATTTATGTGTAGAGCCGAGTTCAAAGAAGACTACCTGCGTCAACAGTATGAAGAGAGGTTTGGGCAGGTAGGGAAGCAAAGGGAGAGTGCTGCGGCCGAGGAGCATCAGAAATTGATGGAGTGGAACGATGCGGAGAACAGGCGTCTCCGGGAACGCAGGTGAGGACACAACATGGATCTCGTTGTTAGTAGGAAAGACCTGAGCGTGGCCAGAGTTACTAGCAGGGTAGCTAGTGAAGACTTACAGCTATTGGGAGGATAGCTGGGTAGTAGCAAGATAGATCCAGGCTAGGACTATCTGTGCTGCTGAAGAATTTCTTTCAGAGAGACTATCCTGTCAGGATTCTTGTTTTTGGAGGGAGAGAGAAGAGTTTCTTAAGTAACAAAGTCAGAACTGTTTAAGTAACCATTACGCTTTCAAGTGCCGCAGGGTTCTGTCCTGGGCCCCGTCCTGTTCAGCATCTTTATTAATGACTTAGATGAAGGGCTAGAAGGCAGGATCATCAAGTTTGCAGACGACACCAAATTGGGAGGGATAGCCAATACTCCAGAGGACAGGAGCAGGATTCAAAACGATCTTGACAGATTAGAGAGATGGGCCAAAACTAACAAAATGAAGTTCAACAGGGACAAATGCAAGATACTCCACTTTGGCAGGAAAAACGAAATGCAAAGATACAGAATGGGGGATGCCTGGCTCGAGAGCAGTACGAGTGAAAAAGATCTTGGAGTCCTCGTGGACAACAAGTTAAACATGAGCCAACAATGTGATGTGGCGGCAAAAAAAGCCAATGGGATTTTGGCCTGCATCAATAGGAGCATAGTGTCTAGATCTAGGAAGTAATGCTACCCCTCTATTCTGCTTTGGTTAGACCACATCTGGAATATTGTGTCCACTTCTGGGCACCACAATTCAAGAGAGATATTGACAAGCTGGAATGTGTCCAGAGGAGGGCGACTAAAATGATAAAAGGTCTGGAGAACAAGCCCTATGAGGAGCGGTTTAAGGAGCTGGGCATGTTTACGCTCCACTGGCTGCCATTTATTTTCCAGTTCCAATTCAAGGTGCAGGTTATCACCTATAAAGCCCTAAATGGTTTGGGACCCGCCTACCTTTGTGACTGTAATCTCTCCATGTACCAATCCGGGCCCTTCGTTCCTCGGGGAGGTCCTCCTTTCGCCTTTACCAATCTCACAAGCTCGTTTTGTGGGCACAAGGGAGAGAGCCTTCTCTTTTGTGGCCCCCCAACTTTGGAACTCTTTACCTGGGGAGATCAGGAAAGCCCCTTCACTGGAAACCTGACTTTTCCGCTGCGCCTTTGGTGAGTAGGTGCACAGCATGGTATTTCACACCCCCTCAACGTTTTCGGCTAATGGAGTTCGTGCCCTCCAAATAGGATATTCTGCCCCACAACTCTGTGTGTTTTATGAGTTCCATTTAAACATCCTGCTCCTATTTTATCTCATCATAGTCTGTTAGTTGTTTTTTTTTATTCGGAATATGTGGCCCGCCTATTGTCATCTTTGTGTCTATTGGAATTTTTATATTATTATTATTATTTCATTTTATTTTATTTTAATGTCATTTTGATAATGTTGTTTTTGTCTGTTGTATATGCTTTGATTTTATTGCTATATTATGTTGTCCGGGCTTGGCCCCATGTAAGCTGCTCCGAGTCCCCATCGGGGAGATGGTGGCGGGGTAGAAATAAAATTATTATTATCTAGGACTGTGTGATGCATCAGCAAATAATGCAGATCTGAGCCGGGTGGCTTTTTGCAGCTGACAGATGGTAACTTTGTCAATGCAGATTGTTTTTAAGTGCAGGCCAAGGTCTTTAAGTATTGCACCCAGTGTGCCGATGACCGGCTGTTAGGAATTGTTGGAGTTGAAGTCCAAAACGGCTGGAGAGCGGGCTGAAGTTTGCGCATGCCTGCCTTAAGATCACTTACATAGCTACTGATAGTTCACTGGGTAATGATGTAATAATGTCTGAAGGCCAAAGTGAAACCCACCAATGTGGAGTGCTGACTGTGTTTTGTATTTCGGTTCCAGGGAGGAGCGCCAGCAACAAGAAGACATCGCAGAGCGGGAGCGCCGTTTGAGAGGAGCTCAGTACCAGGAGTCCCTGATGGAGAAGTTCATTAAGGAGAGGGAGCAGGAGGTGCTCAAGTTGCAGGTGAGGACCCTTCTGGGCCGCAGACCCTCGCTCCGACTCTGCTGCTGCTTCCATGAATAATCTTTTGCCGGGCCGCTTCCAAGTTATTTGTTGCTACTTGCCATCTAAGTCAGCTTTAAACCACTATCCGCAAACAACCCCAGGTCCCTGGGTTGCTGTGAGTTTTCTGAGCTGTTTGGCCATGTTCCAGAAGCATTCTCTCCTGACATTTTGTCCACATCTATGGCAGGCATCTTCAGAGGTTGTGAGGTCTGTTGGAAACTAGGCAAGTGGGGTTATATATCTCTGGAATGATGTTCAGGGTGGGAGAAAGAACTCTTGTCTGAATTCTGCAATTGATCACCTTGATTAGAATTTAATGGCCTTGCAGCTTCAAAGCCTGGCATCTTCCTGCCTGAGGAGAATCCTTTCTTGAGAGGTGTTGGCTGGCCCTGATTGAGTCATGCCTGGAATTCCCCTCTTGTTTGAGTGTAGCTCTTTATTTATTGTCCTGATTCTAGAGTTTTTTAAAATAATGATAGCCAGATTTTGTTCATTTTCATGATTTCCTTCTCTCTGTTGAAATTGTCCTCATGTTTATAATAAATAATAATACTTTATTTATACCCCACTACCATCTCCCCAAGGGACTCGGTGCGGCTTACATGAGGCCAAGACAACAGTACATCAATAAACAAAAGAAATGACAAAACAATCAATACAATACAATTAATATAAATTACATATCAATAAACTATACACCATATGGATTTCAATGGCTTTTCTGTGTCATCTGACATGGTGGTAGTGAGAGTTGTTCAGTATTTCTGTTTTCCCAAATAATATGCTGTGTCTATTTATTTATTTTTATTTATTTACAGTATTTATATTCCGCCCTTCTCACCCCGCAGGGGACTCTGAGCAAATTACAATGCACATATACATGGCAAACCTTCGACACACAACATATATAGACAGACACAGAGGCAATTTAACATCTGCTTTCTGGCTTCATGAGGGTATGCTCGATTCTGGCCACAGGGGGAGCTGCCGCTTCACCATCCACTTGTGACACCGAGTCCTTGATGGAGTACTTCCTCATTCTTATGCATGCTGCTGGAAGTTTTTATGGTGTCATAAATTAGTTAAATTAACCTCCCCACGTAAAGCGGTACCTAAATTTTCTACTTCACAGATGCAACTGTCTTGGCATAGGTTGACAGCAAGCTAGACTATTAATGTTCGGGAGCTCACTCCGTCCCTGGGGGAATCCTTTGATGGTCTACCTCCCAACAATGGATTCCCCCAGGCAGGAAGCAGCCAAGCCTTGAAGCTGCAAGGCTATTCAATACTAATCAAGGTGATCAATTGTAACATTCACACCAACCTCAAATAGACAAAGAGTTCTTTCTCCCACCCTGGATATTTCACAGATATATAAACTTCACTTGCTTTCTCAGAAAACTATTTCTTGATTTAAGGTGTTGTTGTGTTGGCTGATTGAGGTTCTGGGTTTTAGCCTGCCACTTTTGGACTTGCGGTTGCTGAGGTGTTCCAGCAAGCGTCTTTACTAGAATGCTACTGGAACATGGCCATACAACCTGAAAAACTCACAGCAACCCAAAAGGAGAGTTTTCCCATGAGAGATGCCAACATTCACATTTATGACCCACTTAACTAGTATTTTGGAAGGCTACTATGTATGGAATTGGTTAGATTTGAAGGGAGAGACTTCATTAAAGCCCCCTCAAGTCTTAATACTTCAAGGACTAGTGCTGAGAAATTGGAAGTTTGTAAACAAACCTGAGCATGACATTTTTTAACACTTGCCTTTCTATAACTCTTTTATTTCCCTCTCTCCTTAATACAGGAAGATGCCAAGACCTTCATCACTCCTGAAAACCTGGACCAGCGGATCGAGGAGTGTCTGGACAATCCGCGCAACTACAACTATGCCATCGATAAGGAAGGGAGGGTCGCCAAACGCAGCGTTTTGCCTTAGGATACAAAGGAAGTGACTTTTTTCTTCCCAAATGACCTCTCCTTTCCGTTTAATCGTCCTTTCCGTCCAAACACCAGACTCCCTATTCCTTGCATCGTGAACAAGGAATTGTGTCTCCTCAATATCTCAATATGCCTTGAGATAATTAAATAAATGATGTGCATTTGGGGGCTTTGCACTTCCAGGACTTTGCACCTCCTTCTTGAAGAGGATTTTCTGCTCTTCTCCAAAAAAATAAATAAATTGATTTTGCTAAGAATTTTAACTTACCCTGTCTCCAGTTTGTAGTGTTGGTGGGTAATTTGCAAAATAAGGAAGAAGCATTCAAAAAAGGTAAAGCATCAACAATAGCAGTAGTGCCAGCAGTAGAGTGATTTGGGTGTCTCCTGGGCAACGTCCTTGCAGTCAGCCAATTCTCTCACACCAAAAGCGACTTGCAGTTTCTCAAGTTGCTCTTGAAACACACAAAAAACCTTTCCCCTGCCTTTCCTTTCTTTTCTTCCTTTCCTTTCTTTCTCCTCTTTCTTTTCTTTTCTTGCCTCTTTCTTTCTCCTTCCTTTCTTCTTTTCTTTCCTTCCTCCCTTTTCCCACTTTCCTTTCCTCCTTTCTGTTCTTTTTTTTCGTTCTTCTTTCCTTTCTTCTCTTCCTTGCCTCTTTCCTCGCTTCCCTGCCTTTCCTTCCTCTTCCTTCCTTTCCTTCCTCCTTTTCTTTTCTTTCCTTTCTTTCCCCTTCTTTTTCCTTTTCCTCTTCCTTTTCTTCTCTTTTTCTTTCCTTCCTCTTTCTTCTTCCCTTCTTTCCTTTCTCTTCCTCCTTCCTTCTCCCTCCCTTCTTTCTTTCTTCCTTCCTTCCCTTCCCTTTTTTTTTCTTTCTTTTTCTTTCTTCTCTTTTCTTCCTCTTTTTCTTCCTTTCCTCTGTCTTTCCTTTCTCTTCCTTTTCCTCCCTCCCTTTTCCTCCTCCTCCCTTTCTTTCCTTTCTCCCTTCTTCTTTCTCTCTTCTTCTTTCTTCTTCCCTTCTCATCTTTCCCCCTCTTTTCCTTTCTTTTCTACCCTTCCTTCCTTTCTTTCACTTCTCCTTTCTTTTTCCCTTCTTTCTATTTTCTTTTCCTTTACTCTTCTCTTCTCTTTCTTCTCTTTCTTTCCTTGCCTCTTCTACTTTTCCCTGTATTTCCTTTCTCTTCCTTCCTCCCCCCCCCCCGTTTTCTTTCTTTCACTTCCCTTCAACTTTCCCTTTGTTTTCTTTTTCTCTTCCTTTTTCCTTTCTTCTCTATTCCTTCTTCTCCCTTTTCCCTTCTTTCCTTTCTCCCTTCCTTCCTCCCTTTTCTTCCCTCTTTCCCTTTTCCTTTCTTTTTCTCTTCTCTTTCCTTCTCTCTTCTCTCTTTCCCCTCTTTTTCTTTTCTTCCTCCCTCTTTTCTTCTTCCCTTCCCCTTTCCTTTCTTTCCCTTCTTTTTCCTTCCTCTTCCTCTTCTTTCTTTCCTTCCTCTTCTCTTTCCTTCTTCTTTCCTTCTCTTTTTCTTCCCTCCTCCTTTTTCTCCCCTCTCCTTCTTTCCTTTCCTTCTCTTTTCTTCTTCTTTCTTTCTCTTTCTTCTTTCTTCTCCATTTCCCTCTTTTTAAAATTCCTTCCCTCTCTTTTCTTTCTTCCCTTCTCCATTCCTTTCTTTCCTTGTTTTCTTTTTCCTTTCCTCTTTCCTCCCCTCCTCTCATATCTTTCCCCCTGCTTTTCTTTTCTCTTCTTTCCTTCCCTCCCTTTACTTCCTTCTTGTGTTTTATCTATCTATATGTTTTAACTATGTTGTGTCACACTGTGAGGAAAGACAACTAACAAATATTATTTTTAATTTTATTATTAATTTATCTTTATTTTTATTAATTTATATTTATCTTTATTAATTTTTATTTATATCCTGCTTTTTACCCCGTAGGCAGCTAACAACTAGAGTTCTAATAACAATTAAAAATAAATCAAGTACAACTTTTTTTTAAAAAAAACACAATTAAATATTAGTGTGTGGATATAAAGTTAATTGTATTTATTTATTTTAATTGTATTGTAACTTTACAATACTATTAAAATACAATAAATACAGTTAAGTGGATCCAGGTCTCTCTTGGGAGGGAGCTCCTAAGTCTGAGATGATGATGATGATGATGATGATGATGATGATGATGATGATGATGATTATTATTATTATTGCGGTAGACTCTCCATAGGAATTGCTAGATGCAAGATCCAGTAGTTTTTTTGAGTTATGTTAATCCCACAAACGAACATTACATTTTGATTTATATAGATGAAGTAATTAATATTAATAACACTTAATATTCCGTCCTATCTCCCCAAAGACAGACCGACAGACAGGAGGTATGTTGTGTCAACATCCAGCTTTTTGGCCTCTTGGAGGTTGTGCTTGAATCCAGCCACCGGAGGGGGGGGTGGGGGTGCGGTTGCTGCATCCTCTATGACGAAGAGCCATCAGGACTTCCTCCTTCCTTTTGGTCGCTGGCATTTTCTGATCTTTTTCTGTATGGCGTCGTAAAATACCTCCCCCGCTGCAGTACCTAATTTCTCTAGCGCTTCTAAACTGTTTTTGAACTGCTTAGGTAAACAGTGAGCTGGGCTCACAGGAGCTCACGCCGACCGGGGGCTTCGAACTGGCAATCTTTTAGTAGGTAGATCTTATCATTGCTGGTGATTTAGCTGTGCTAAAGTCCGGCCCTAAAAGCAAATTAAGACTAATTTAATTTAATGCAACAATTTTTCTATATTAAAATACAGTATTTCTTTGGGGGGGGGGTTGCCAAGTGTTTGAGTCTTTTGCACTATTATTAGTATTAATATTAAATTGGACGCTGGGATTACTAGAACCCATTCGGCTGAGAGAATATTCCAAGGTGGAAATGTCAATCCCGGTAAAGAAAAGGGCAAAAAACATAAATAAATTTAAATGCTGCGACTGACATTGAGCCTCATACGGTTGGCGCATCACCACCAAATGCTGCCTGTTCCTGGTTAACTTTATCTCCAAAGCACATCTTGAAAAGCTTGGCTGCCAAGAATGTCAGAGGTTTTATACAATAATGAAACAACTGATAGTATGGACAGGACTCTAACGACTCCAGTTACGGAATCAGAAACCCACAGATAATTATTGTGGACTTCTGCAGGAACAAAATATACAAGCACGGTTTTCCTTTCCAAAAATACGCAGGAAGGCTTTTCTCTTCTTTGTTGCAGAAATAAATACAGAGTACGTACAATATATGCAAACTTTATCGTTTCTGTGTTGCCTAAGGCTTTCATACCTGGAATCACTGGTTTGCTGTGAGTTTTCCGAGCTGTATGGCCATATTCCAGAAGCATTCTCTCCTGACACTTTGCCCACATCTGTGGCAGGCATCCTCAAAGGTTGTGAGGTGTGTCTTGGAGCAGTTTCTCCCCGTGGAGATTTTCAATGTGTTGTCAAAGGTTCACAACCTCTGAGGATGCCTTCCATATATGTGGGTGAAACGTCAGGAGAGAATGCTTCTGGAACATGGCCATACATCCCTGAAAACAACAACCAAGTTTACAGTTTCTCTCTCTCTCTATTCCAGCAACTCTCTTAACAGTATTTCAGTGGAAGACCGTAGAAGCCATCCAGCGCAACCCTCTTTTGCCAAGCAGTAAAAGCACAATCAAATCAGCCCCTCAGATGACCATCCAATAATAATAATAATAATAATAATAATAATAATAATTTTTTTGTTGTGTCAGGAGCGACTTGAGAAACTGCAAGTCGCTTCTGGTATGAGAGAATTGGCCGTCTGCAAGGACGTTGCCCAGGGGATGCCCGGATGATTTGATGTTTTTATCATCCTTGTGGGAGGCTTCTCTCATGTCCCCGCATGAGGAGCTGGAGCTGATAGAGGGAGCTCATCCGCCTCTCCCCGGATTCGAACCTGCAACCTGTTGGTCTTCAATCCTGCCAGCACAGGGGTTTAACCCACTGCACCACCGGGGGCTCAATAATAATAATAATAATAATAATAATAATAATAATAATAATTTGGACAGAAAAACTAGAAAACTCGTGATCATAATTCATTACACGATGCCCTGGCAGAATATGTCAAGGAAAGCCAAGAACCTGCTTGAATTGAAGTCAATAATCGGAAACTTCTCAAAGCACAGCAGACAAAGAGTCAGTACAAGAAAACTGCACTACAAACCAGAGCTGACAGCAGGCACAACAAAGCTTTGCATGGGCAGTTCCTTGAGAAGATTGAAGGAAAAGTTGACAAGGAGAAGACCTGGTGATGGTTCACGAATGGAACCCTGAAGAAGGAGACAGAAGAAGGACTGATTGTTGCAGCCCAGGAGCAAGCCATCAGAACCAATGCCATTAAGGCCAGGATTGAAAAATCAGCTGATGACCCAAAATGCAGACTATGCAAGGAAGTTGATGAAACCATGGATCATCTCCTCAGCTGTTGCAAGAAAATCGCACAGACGGACTACAAATAGAGGCACAACTCTGTGGCCCAGATGATTCACTGGAACTTATGTCAAAAGTACCACCTGCCACTGGTAAAGGGATCATAAACCTGCAAAGGTAGTGGAAAATGATTGTGTAAAAATACTCTGGGAGTTTCGAATTTAGACTGACAAAGATCTGGAACACAATACCCCAGACATCACGATTGTGGAAAAGAAAAAAAGTTTGGATAATTGATGTCGCCATTCCAGGTGACAGTCGCATTGAGGAAAAACAACAGGAAAAACTCAGCCGCTATCAAGAACTCAAAATCAAACTGCAAAGGCTCTGATTGCATCAACCAGTCCAGGTGGTCCCAGTGGTCATTGGTGCACTGGTTGCCATGCCAAAAGATCTCAGCCGGCATTTGGAAACAATAAACATCGACAAAATCACGATCTGTCAACTGCAAAAGGCCACCTGACTTGAATCTGCGCACATCATTCGAAAATACATCACACAGTCCTAGACGCTTGGGAAGTGTTTGACTTGTGATTTTGTGATACGAAATCCAGCATATAGATCTCGTTTGCTGTGACATACTGTGCTTTTGTGTCAGATAATAATAATAATAATAATAATAATAATAATAATAATAATAATAATAGGAGAAACCCCAGGGATCATCCAGTCCAACCCCCTTCTGTCATGCAGTAAAAGCACAATCAAAGCACCCCCAACAGATGGCCATCCAGCCATTATTTATTAACAATTTAAGAGTACTAGTTGGTGCATGTTGTTTTTGTCAT